CACTATATTGAAAGCGTGGTCCGCGAGACGGAACGCCTCAGTCACCTGATCACCCAGGTGCTGAACCTGGAGCGTTATGAATCGGGCCGGCACAAGCTGTATTATGCAGCTGTGGATATGCAGGAGCTGGTGAGCGATGTGCTGGAAGCCCTGGACCCATTGGCAAAAGAAAAGGGCGTCACCATGAAATTCCAGCAACCCGATAGCATGTTTGTGATCCAGTGTGATAAGGATATGATCAAACAGGTATTGTATAACCTGGTGGCCAATGCCCTGAAATTTGTACCGGACCAAGGCGGGGAGATCGATCTGAAGATGCGTATGGACTATGATGAATTACAGGTGTGGGTGGCAGACAATGGAAAGGGCATACCCGCAGAGCTGCATGAGCTGATCTTCGATAAATTCTTCCAGGCCCGCAACCAGACCCTTCAAAAACCGGTTGGTAGCGGACTGGGGCTGGCCATCTGCCAGAAGATCATCGGGCTGCACAACGGCCGTATATGGGTGGAGCATAATGAACCGGCAGGGGCTCGTTTTATGTTCACCTTACCCGGCGGCCTGGATGTTCCGTTTGCTTAAATGAGAATTATTGCGTCGCACAAAACAGAATTCACGCATTGAACTTAGTTTTGCAGTTGCAATGAAAAAGATCCTTGTTGTAGATGATGATCCGTATATCCTGATGTCGCTGGAATTTCTGATGAAGAAGGCCGGCTATCAGGTCATGATCGCCCGTAACGGAACCGAGGCGCTGGAAAGTATTGAACATAATAAACCGGCCCTGGTATTGCTGGATATTATGATGCCGGATGTGGATGGTTATTCTATTTGCGGCCATATAAAAGCTAACCCCGCGCTTAGTGATATTATCGTGGTCTTCCTCAGTGCACGGTCGAAGGAGGCTGATATTCAGAAAGGGCTGAGCCTCGGCGCAGCGCGTTATATCAGCAAGCCATTTTCAACCCGCGACCTGATGAAGCAGGTTAATGAGTTGTTGAACACCTGGCAATAGTGAGCGATCTCCGGCTTTCCCGGCTACATTTGCAAAGTTTTTTTCTACCTTTCAATAATTATGCTTTACTCAATGACCGGCTTTGGCCGTGCTGCAGCTACCATTTCCAACCGCCAGGTAAGTGCCGAGATCAAGT